CGCGCGCCCCGGTCTGTTGCCCGCTGAGTGAGTTTTTTTGGGGTGTGTGTGTGTGTGTGTGTGTGTGTGTGTGTGTGTGTGTTTGCGAGAGGAGAGAGAGAAGGGGAAGAGACAGAGAAGGGATTCATCGTTCTGCGAAGTGATGCTTGGGGTTTCCCTTTCCTTTTTGTGGTTGGGTATGGACTGGGACCGAGGAGCTGCGCCTCCTCGCCTGGTGCGGTTCATTTCGGAGCTGTCTCCTCTTTCCTTCACAGGCGGGATAATAGTGAAGTGGACGATGGTAGAACTGTCCTAAATCTGAACCCACGTAGTGGGCAGTACAGGGGCGGGAATGGGGCCGCGGTGTCAATAGCCAGGGCTCTAAGCAGAGGGATTTTCCTGGGCTCTAAAAAGTAAACGGGGTAATACTCTCTACTGAGGAAAAGTAAACCGGTTGAAAGGAAGAGGAGGGAGGAAGAGAAGGCAGAGGGAGGGAGAGAGAATGGGAGGGGTGGAGTGGAGGGAGGAAGAGAGAAAAGAAAGAAGGGGAGGGAGAGGAGCGAGCAGGAGAGGGAGAAAGAACATAACAGGTATTCCTGTCTGCCTAAATTTTCTGCTCAAAAACACAAGCGAACCCTCAGCTTGGTGGAAGGAACCTATTTAAGCCTGGACTAAGGTTGAACTTTAACAGAAATGGCAGTCAGGCCAGTCGAACGGGTTTCTGAAACATCCCGAAAGGTTTTCTGTTGCCCCTGGCTTTGCCTGGAAAGGATAAGTTTAGTGTAGTTGGAAATTGATGGCGTATATTTTAAATCGAGGTAAAAATCGCAGACTCTGTGAGCCCTAACGAGGAACGGGCTGCAGCAGGGGCGACAGCCCCCCTCTCGCCTCTGTCCACATTCAGTAAAAGCCTGCATACGTCACCATGAACAGTCGGGCCCACCGGTTTACTTTTCTCTCCCCTCCAAAGGATGAGCCAACGCCTTTTTATTTTGTTTTCTTAATCCGCACACAAAGCACCCAGGGCGGTCAGCTCTTCCCATTAGGAAAGTCCCTCTAGGCACAGGACACCCACTTTCTGTACCAGCCCCCCAGCACTGCTCTCCTCACCACCCTGTCCAGAGGAGCAGGAGCTGCTCTCTGCATGTCCCCGGATCCGTTCATTGAAGTTCTGCCTCTTTCCTGCTAAACTTTTTCCCCAGTCTGCCTCTGCCAGCCCCCTCGTCTGATTACATCTAGTAATTCTCCACTGAATGAACGTCATTTACAATAGTAGGGGAGCTCTGCGCTCGCTGCTGCTTCACGCTCCATTTGTCCTCCATTCTCCCTTTAAAGTACTCGTGTAATATTAATAGTCATGAATATCAATTATTATGAGGCGGTGTAGGCAAGCGGAGGGAGGAAGGGGCGCTGGAGCAGTCTGAGCCCAGCTTCGGGTGGAAGAGCACTGATTCCGGAGCCCCGACGAACCGCAGAAGAAACGCGGCCCAAAGACAGCAAGAGACAGATGAACAGCGCTGTCTGTGTGTGACGGGCAGTGCCAATCTGGGGGGGGGGGTACCTTTTTTTTTTTTTTTTTGATGGCTTGTCCGGGAAACACCTCAAGCTCAGTTCCCGTGTCCAGCTCGTTTCTCTGCTGGACTCCTTGATTTTTTTTTTTTAATCATTGTTTGATTTTGAGCAGTAACCAGGCTTTTTTTTCCAGATGTTAGTCCACACCTATTCATCCATGGTGAGTTTGGATTCACGTTGTACCAGAATTGCATGCTCCCTCCTCTCACTGTCTCTCTGTCTCTGCGTCTCTGTGCGTGTGTACCACTCTCTCTGTCTTCCTAAGCGTTTTTTGGCTTGGTAATTTAGCAGCATAATTGGACGAGGCTGCAGCTGCTTCTCTCTGCATTGTGTGTTCTTGGTCTGAGCTCCCTGAGTCAGCTGGGAGGGGGGCGGCCGAGCAGAAGAACTTTTTATTTGCTATTGCAGTTTGGAAATTTAGGTGACTCTTTCTGTAAAAAGAACCGTGGGGACTTTACCATGGCATTTCCACAGAGGAGAGGGAGAAACTTAGCCCCCTCCCCCCATGCACACACACCTCTCCCTACTTTCACTTAGTTTGCACTCCGGATAGGACCCAGAATATGGGTTGCCTGGGCTTTTCTTGTTTCCCCCTCCCAACTACAGGTCTTCCATTTTTACACCCTACAGTCTAATCATGTTAGAGGTAGAAAAAAACCACCTTCGAAACAACTCCTGCGAACCACAACTCAACTTAATTTAACATAGGCTTAAGATATGATTTCGAGTGAGATCTGTTTCAATCAAACGCTATTTAAGTTATTTAATTCCTCCTGGGGAGGCAGGGGTGGCTGGGAACTCAGAGCAGGCAGAGTCCTCAGAGCTCCTGGAATGATCAGGTTGTGTGGAAAGCTCCCGACCAGCCAGCTGCATTGCCAGAGAAGGCAGAAGGTGGTTTTTAAACAGAAGGAGTAGCAGAGAATAGTTTTATTTGTTGTGCTTTGGACCTCTGGAAGAGTTAAGGGGAACAGAGTTTGAAACACCCAGAAGAGCAAACATCATCTGTAAAAGTCCTACATTTTTTATTATGCCATTTCAAACCTCCCTCCATACACTCAGTGGTTTTATCCTCATCCATTTCGCCTGCTTTGCACTTCCAAAAGAAGGCACAGATGTCAGTTAAGGGGTGACTCCCCCATTTTCCCCCCAAAGCCTGGCGTTTGGAATTGCTGAAATCATGTGGCCCACTGAGTGCTCTTGAGGGCCTACGTTTTCAGACTCTCGCTTCCCCTTGTCCCGGGAAGAGCG